TCCGTACGTGGAAAGCATGGCAAAGCATTGAAGAGCCGATTCGAGCACATATCCATGCGCGAAAACGCTCGCACAGTTCGGATGTGGATACATTTGGGCTCTGTCCAAGAATACACGGTTTCGTTCTTGGCGTTATACGATCAAATTGGAGGGCTTAGCGAAGGCGAGAAGATCGGTCGCTATGTGGGTGGTCTCAAGCCAGAGATTCAACAAGAGATCGTCCTGCGAGCCCTAGCGACATTCAACGAGATTGTCCGAATCGCGGATGCGCTGGACGCAAGGCGTGGACTTGCGAGGGCGTGTTTCCAGGAGGGAAATCGCTTTCGAGGCCAGCCCCAACACACATCAATCAACGGCGTGGACGTGTTTGCAGCCTAGGTATTTTTCGGATGCTGTCTCCAGTACAACCAGCCAGACCACATGGTGAGGGACTGCCCGCAGCTGAAGAAGAACTTAGCTAACGACGGGAAGCAGTCGGGAAATGGAGATCGTCAGTAGCAGATGGGCCACCTACTGACTTGACTGCGTCGCCCAAACACCAACACCCCTACCAGGTTTTAGTACCAATTTGGGCTATCGACCATTCCTGACTGAATAAGGGTGGTGAACCGGTTGATCGCCCTGTGCTGGTTGAAGGAAGGGGTGGCGACACCCGCATCCAAATATTTGTTGATGGTGGGGCAAGCCACAGTTTGATGGATGTGACAAAAGCAAAAACTTCGATTGCAGCTGGAACGCTGCATGCCCGAAATCGATGCGAGGTTGGTTGACGGCACCCTACTGGCGATTTGGGAGCGCGTGCTTCACGTGCGAGTCACCTGTGGCGAAAACTTTAGTTTCACGATGAAGATGCTGGCGACAATTCTAAACGGATGTGACATGCTGCTGGGACGCGATTGGCTGCGCAAATACAACCCGAGCATCGACTGGCAGACGGGCGATTGTCGCATAAACTAGAGTGGCGATGGCTACCCAAGTGGAGCAGTCAAGACTCGACAACATCGACATTCAGCACAGTGACTATAAAGCGCGCGATGATTCGAGGAGCGCAACTGTATGCCGTCCGATGGATCGCATCAACGGCTGTCGACACACCGACCGACATCGACAAACTCTGTGCAGCTGTACCTGATGATTTGACATAAGTGATTCGGAAGCACGTCGATATTTTTCCAGACGACCTATCAGCGGGCTTGCCACCTCAACGGCCGCATGATCACAAAATCGAGCTTGAACAAGGCGCGCAACCTACTTTTCAGACCCAAATGGCGGCTGACTCAGCCCGAGTTAGATGAACTTCGACGCCAACAAGACTACCTGCTCGAGAAAGGTTTCGTCCGCCCCATTCCATGTGCAGACGACCTCATTGACCAACTTCGCGAGGACCGATTTCTATCGAAGATTGACCTGCGAGGCGGTTACCACCAACTTCGCGTGCACGAAGCTAACTACTACAAGATGGCTTTTTTGGACCCGGTATGGGAGTTACGAATACACTGTCATGCCCTTCGACTTAACAAATGCGCCTTCAACATTCAAGTTGACAATGAACGAGATTTTTCGGCCATTGTGGGATAAGTACGTCATCTTGTACCTCGACGACATTCTCGTCTAGAACACAACCCGGGAGCAGCATTTAAAGGATTTGGAAGCAGTTTTCTCTCTTGTACAGCAGAACCGACTAATCACCAAGGGCTATAAGTGCGAGATTCTAAAACACGAACTGGAGTTTTTAGGTCACGTAATCTCCATCGACGATGTTAAGATTGATCGAAAGAAGATTGCTACTATCCAAGACTGGAAGCCGCCAACTAATCTCCACGAACTTCAGACTTTCCTGGGGTTTGTCAATTACGTCCGCCGTTTCATTCCAAACATGACGGGGGTAACTTCCCATCTCACGGACCTCCTGAAGAAGGGTACGTTTTTTGTGTGGGGGGAGAGCAGCAGGCTGTGTTCGAAAAGCTCAAACTTTTCCTGACTACACCGCCAGTCCTTCAGATTGCAGATCCTCACCATCCATTCGAGCTCATTACCGACGCTAGCGATCTGGCCGTCGACGCAGTCCTGTTACAAGACTTCGGCGAAGGCCTACAACCGATCGCCTACGAGTCACGAAAGCTGAACTCGGCCGAGCGAAATTATCATGTCCACGACAAGGAGTTACTCGTCATCGTTCACGCTTTCAAAGTTTGGCGCTGCTACCTGACAGGCGCTGACGTAACAGTCCGAACAGACCACAAGTCGCTACAGTTCATCTGTGCCCAACCGACACTGAATCCCCGACAGATTCGCTGGCTCGACTACCTGGAGTCCAATTTCCACTACACAGTCACCTACAAACGAGGGGTCAGCAACAACGCCGACGCACTTACCCGCCCCTAGGTCCACACCGTCGCCGTCCTAATTACTCAAGCTAATCCACTGCTAACTGGCCTATTCACCCACGGATACAGTACTGACCCATTCTTCACCACTAATAGTCATCCCCAACTGACGGTCAAGCAAGAGGCCTATTATCTCAAATCCGGTTCCAATCGGATTTGGGTTCCCGCCTACCGTACCCTACGGGAATTATTGATCTAGGAGGCACATGCCTCGAATTTCTCGGGTCACTACGGCATCGACAAAATCGTGAAATTACCGAGGCGTAATTATTACTCGCCCGACCTACCGACAGACGTAAAGCAGTACGTCACCTCCAGTGCCACGTGTCAACGCATGAAGTCTTCCCCAATTCGGCCGGCTGGATTGCTACAGCCGCTCGAGCCACTCAGCCGGCCCTGGCAACAAGTGACGATGGACTTTGTCACAGGCCTGCCAGCTAGTTCAAGCGGTAACGACACGATCCTCGTCGTCGTTGACCGGTTGACCAAAATGGCCCATTTCGTGCCTGCAAAACGACAATGATTGCCGAGCAGACAGCGTAACTGTTCCACGGTATCCCATCCGCAAACATCAGCGATCGTGACCCACGGTTCACGTCCAGCTTCGGAACAAAAACCTGGCAACAGTACGATACACGCCAGCATCTGTCCGCGACGTACCATCTGCAATCGGACGGCCAGAATGAGCGCACCAATCAGACGATGGAGCAGATGATTAGCACGATATGTACAGACCCGGCCCAAAAGGAATATGCCCTCCCCTTGATCGAGTTTGCGTACAACAATGCCCCATCGGCCACGACTACTCAGTCCCCGTTCTTCCTTAATCACGGGATAGATCCAACAACCCCTTTATCGCCAACGATAGAAAATCCGGCACCAAGGTCTCAGCAGTTTATCGAAAACCTTCGACAGTCTGAGCAAAAAGCCGCCGATGCTGTCCTAAGCAGCAATTTGATCGACGATGCCGAAACTTAACACTTGACCCTGGGCAATTGGTCCCGCTAGACACCATGAATTTGGGAATCCCCCTCCCAAATAAGTTACGACCGAGATTTTGCGGACCCTTCCGCATCATCCGCATGGTGACACTAGTCAGCGCCCAGCTGCAACTGCCGACCGACTGGCAAATTCATCATTCGTTCCACGTCAGCCTCCTGCGACCGTTTGTCCCGAGTGCGACCAATCTCGACCGTCAACATATTAATCCTATGGTCTAGATCCTCGCTCATCGTGTACGGGGACATTGAGACACAGCAGCCGTCGATTTCCTTGTACGCTGGGTCGATCGCACAAGTGACGATGACCTCTGGGTTCGTGCAGCCACGCTCGGTGAAAACAGAATTGTCAGGGATTATTTACACCGACGACGTGTCCCGGATGTGGGTAGTCTCATCCTGGAAGGAGGGGGGGGGGTGTAAGGATTCCTTACTGGGCTCGACTACAGCGCGTACGCCCTCGACTCGCGGAAGTCCATGCCCGGCCAACTTCTTCGGTCCTGAACCGCTCCGCGAACCCAAACCTAGAAGCGCGGCGCTTCCGCAACTTTTGCTAACCAGACCGCCCCAACATGTTCTCGTGAGCTCTGTTCGTGCGTATAAATGCATAGGCCCTTATTTATATCAACAATCTTGAATGCCGACTCCTTTATTACTCTACATGTTATTACTCTGATTAATTATTAATATAAGTGAAAAAACTCATTATTCGATGAGCCTAATTATCCAATTGAAAAAACTGCAGAGCATGCTCGGTAACTTTGCCTTGTAATATTAAATTCATTTCAAGCTAAAACTAAACTGGTATTGCACAATTAATATGCATTTGAATTGTTCAAAGTTAGGGGGGAGTGAATATATGTAAAACAACTCAGGTCAAGCTGTATACAGCTGCGCCCTACAAGAGAATTATTATGACGCCCTCAAGGTGCCCCTTTTCGAAACAGGGCACCAAATGAGTGGCTTCCCTTCTCGGTGATGGCTGGCACAAACTCTAATTCGTTCGTTTCTGTCAGGTGCTTTACGTTCGAGAAATTTAATGAACGGTTTAAAAGGGTTGTGAGTGAAAACAATCACAAAGCCTCGACAAAAAAACACGTTCGGCATCAGTAGCCCAGAGGCGCTTCGTGGAGACAGTCGTGTGTTGCTCGGTTTGTGCCAAGCCAAGACCCGAACACGTAAGTGGGCGCAGCCCGTACCTAATGGGACGTGGTTGGGGTGAATGCTCACCAAAACCTGCAGCTTCGGGCCTGGGCCGCACTGCGGCTCACAGAACCAAACCAGCCGCAGCCACGTTCCCGCCGAAAGCCGCGCCTGGCTGTCTTGGCGGCAGTTCGGTCAGATACTGCTGCTGTGCAGGGGCAACAAAACCCACAGCAGTCCGTAATTGGGCCACTCAGGGCGCATCCAAGGTGCCACTTGAAGATTTCGGCTCAGGCTGGGTATCGCTTTGCACAACTGAAACGGCACTCTCGCGTTCAGTTCCGGTAACGAAAACCAGACTGAAAAATCTGGCATTCTGTCCGAAGTGCGAAAATTCCGCACACTTTGTAAAGACTTGCCAATTTGCCTGGGGATGTGGGGATTTTTCGAAATGATGGATGAGGGCGGGTCCAAATAGTTCAATTGAGGGTTTTGGACCCGTTTTACGAACTCGGGGTATTAAAATTGAAAACGATCCCGAAATCGTTTCCCCCCAAAACCGTGTCCCACATTGCGAACAAAAAGAGAGACTGGCGCCAACTGGGTGAGTCGCAAAAAAACGGTTCGCCTCAGACGCCCCAAATCGCAGTTACCAAATGCTGAAGCTGCGGGACAGATATTTCGTGCTGGGCTGGATGGAATTTGCGATGTGGCGTTGCGCCACGCGAAGATTTCGTCAAATCGCCTTGTTCTCGTTAAGCCCACCTTGGCGAAACCCTAAATTGCCACTCGTGTCTACTCGCCCCCCACACGCACACCTACTGTCACCCGAATCGTAAACGGATCTAGACTGGGGTACATGTACCTTTACATGCCTCGACCGTCCCGAGTTACGGCAAATTCGCGCACCTGTCCTCGCGAAATCAGCGCGAGGTTAAATCGGGTTACTTTTCGCTAAATGAATAGAGTATGAACTATTTGGACCCTCCCTGAGCCACGCTCGAATCCAGTCCCAGATTTTTTTCTCCACAATGGACAGCCGCTCGCAGTTTCATTTCTGGTGTATGAAATGGCTGTGTCCAAAGTGTTCCTGTTCCGCGGTTCGTTGCTCAAATAGTGACCCGAAGCCACTTTGGATGCGCCCTCAGACCGCGTAGGGCTCAACAGGGAAAGCCCCTCCCAAGCAGATTTCTTGTGGTTGCATCGGATCCTGAATAATGGCTCTGCTTCTCACATCCATCCTTGAAATTAGCTCAGTTGCCATTTTTGGGCTTGCAATTGCCAGCGAACTTTCACCATCAGAGCATCTGTAATTTAGTGTTACTCTTAGAATTACTTCTAGTACTAGCAATTTCCGCACGAGCACCCTTATTCTGCTCTCTTGATTGGTTTTCACCATTTGACTGCCAGGCGAGCCCGCAATCTCTAACCATGAAGACCAGCGTGCTGCTGCTCGTTCTCGTGGCTCTCGCCGCGTCGCTTCACCTAGCGTCGGCGCAGTCGTCGTCGACGTACAACTCGACATGCAACAACTTCTGCACCGCGTCGGGCAACAACAGCATCTACCTCAACTGCACAATGCAATGCGTGGTACGTGCCTTCTTCTCTGTCGCCGCGTCGCTTCGCGCGGCGTCGGTGCAGCCTAATAACTTCAAGCCCATGCAACAACATGTGCGCTGCGTCGGGCAACAACAGCATCTACCTCAACTGCACAGGGCAATGATGCGTGGTACGTGCATCCCTCTCCATTGAGCGACACGTGGTACGCTCTGCTTCGCTTTGAGTATTGCCATGGATCCATTGAGCATCCAGTGGTGCCACCAGTCGTGCCGCCAGTGGTGCCACCAGTGGTCGATACTATTACCAGTGGATACTTGTGGAAGAGCTTCGGTGCAGCCTGTGTTTGAACTTCGAGTGCAAGAACCCCGCTTTATGACGATTCCACTACACGCACAGTGTCTGTGCTTCGCTCGCTTGTTTGCGCCTATTTGTTCCCTCTCCAAAGTTTGGACCTGGTCTCGCCACGAGGGATCATGCTTTTCGGTTCACAAACTAGGCTCTTCATAATAACTTATTGAAACGTCCAAAACTTTGAAAGCGCATCTCATCGATCTGATGCGCGAGATTGGGCGTCGCGACGCCGCAATGAGGTGTGTCGTGACCCTCTGGCGGAGCGCTTCTCTCGCCGCGAGAGAAGGATCGTCGGTCGACCATGGTCTCGAAATCATCACCAGTATAGTAGCTCGCGAGGATTGCCATGAACGCTCGGTGGTCTTTCCATTTCCGAGTAGCCACAGATCATCTGTTCCCGCCAATCAGCTGCCCTTAGTCCTTCGTGCCGAAGTTCTACTCATTTGTGCTCCTGCACTTTTCCTGCCTGCAAAACCCCTCCCCTCCCTCAACCCATTTGGTTTCCGCGCATTCCTCCCGCCGCCCCCTGTGGTTCACTCCCGTGCCGCTCATCCCGCAGAATTGCATTTCCAAGGCTCCCTCCGGCTGCATTCCCTTCTTCAATCCCGTCTTCACCGGAGGTACGCCTTTCCCCGGTTTGGAGATAAACGCGCTGTTGTGCGCTCCCCCACGATTTCCTCCAGTGAGCTTCCACTGGCGCATATTGTAACAACTGGGGGTTCTTTATTTCTCCATGGGGAATCTTGAACCTAAACTGGGTTCCTCATATCGCTTCTCGTTTCCGCGAAATGCTGGGTAAACTACCACCATTTGCGTTGCGCTGTTGCACGCCGTAAAGCCCAATGCCCTGTTGATCTCCACCTGTTCCCTGCTCGTTTCCGCCTGTTCCCTGTGGTCTCGGTCTGTTCCCTGATCGTTTCTGCCAATCCCCTGTTTGTTTCCACCCAAACATTTTTTTTCCCCTTAACCACAATCCCCTTCTCCCCTACACCAGATGGGCTTCCTCTACTCCTCATTTTCTCCATATCCCTCGTCGCCTTCCTAGCTCACGCACGCTCACACCCCACCCCTCCCTACCTCTCTCCTCCACCCCCCTTCTCCAGGCATGCTCCAGAACTGCGAGTGTGGATTTTCCCTGCCACGCGTCGCTCGCCTGGTGGCAGTGGATGCTAGTAGGCTTTGCGATCTTCTTTGCGTGTGCGATGGTGGGCGCTTGCATCATGTACGGCACCAAGGGAGCTGAGTAGACATGTCAGCTTGGAGCAAAATACACATGGCTAAGACGCCTTCTAACGTAATCGGTATAATTTTTTTTTAGTGTTTATGGAAGTAGTGATCAAATCATCAACTTCTGCAGTGAGACCATAGCAAACCTCTTTTGCTGAATTGTGTGCTTTATAAGTTTTCATTGGTGGTAAATCTATACCTCATTGAGAGTTGTAATCACCGTGTGAAGTTTGGTGTTACAGCAAAGTTACCGGCTTAACCTCCAGGGGTGCCCAATGGATGGATCTCAAAAGAGAGTTGGGGGGTGGGGCAGGGCTGGTTGGCACAACAAACGGCGAGGCAGAGCTGGTGGTGGTGGTGGAGCCCAACTGGAATTTGGCTGGGATGGAAACGTTTTTCGCCCAGCATGGTTCAATGTGATGCGAAATAATTGGGTGGCAAGGCGCTGTCACAGTCACACCCATCCGCGGTGACAAGGTAACCACAATTAGGGGAGACTGGTTCAGGTGGGTGTGGTGTGAGTGTGGGCAATTCCTTCCCATTGCGCCACTGGCCTTCGCTCGAACCTTGCCACTGGGCTTTCCCTCCCAGCATTCTACCACTGGCTTTGGTTGCCAACATCGGGTCGGGTTCTCTCAGTTCCGAAATCGAAGTTACATAACCCGGAGGCTCAATCCAGCACGTTTCGAACGAACCGGGGATCACGACATCTCCCACAACGTCATCCCAATGTCTGTAAGCAGCCAAGTAACCAGGTTCAACTTCGAAATTTTGAAACTGACTCGATGCTGAGTGGATTTCCGCCCCAAAAATCTGCAGCCCAGGGATGCATGGGGAGTGGGGTATTTTCGTCTCTCCCTCTCCCACTCTAATCTCGCCACTCGCATTAGCTAATCCACCGTGTTGCATGTCACAATTCCAACAGGTTTCACAGTAGGGTGGGCTCTGCCCTCTCTCGCGAGCCCGAGACGCATAGGCTGTTCCCTCCCTAGTAGCGTTTCGCCGCGTCAAGCCCCACGCCTTTGCGCCTTGCGCGCTAGCGAGCCCTCCATGGACGTCCTTATTAGTGCCCGCGGATCATGCTCCAACACAACAAGCTCGAATCACACTGGAGTTTCCTGAGTTCGTCCCACATCGCATCCGAAACCCTAGAAAGTCCTTCCTTTCAGCGACGAAAACCGTATCTCCCGAAAAATACGCGAAGCCCTCCATCGATCTCGGGCCATGGCGTTTCCTAGCTCCTTAACCTTAACCCTCCTCGCGGCGCTCTGCCTGGTCCACGCGTCTCTGGCGGCGAATCTGCCGCCCGGCGGGTGCCACACGCGATACGTGTGTCCGTACATCGACGACCTGGCGACGGCGACCATCGACGACACCACGTACACGAGCTACCCGTTCCTCGGCGACTTCCAGGGCGTGTTCAACGACCAGTACGGCGCGTTCGTGCCGTTCCAGCGCGGGTCGGGCCCCGTGAACTACGAGCGGTACACGGAGGTGGGCACCATCTTCGACGTCGTCAAGGGCGGTCTACGGCGACACGCCTGCAGGAGTGCTGCCGCGCCTGCGCGCGCTCCACCTACTGCTAACCAGTGGCACTGGTTCAAAAAGTAAGCCCGCGCTGCCTGTTACGCACTTGCTGCTCTTTCTAATACATCTTTCTTGCCGCTGATAGTACCAGTTCGATTTCACTGTGTTCTTGTACGGATTCTACTCCCCCTAACCGTCTTTTCCCTCCCGCGCGCCTTTCTCCCCTTAGCTCGCGGCTGGCGGGCGAGAATGCGAACGTGGCGGGGTTCATCGACCGCGTGCAGTGCTACCTGCTGGAGAGGATTGGCGGGTCGGGCATGTCGGGCGACTACCAGACGCCGTACGCGGGGGATGCGACGGAGCAGACGGCCAACGCGGCGACCATCCCGCTGAGCTTCCTGGGCGGGCTGTGCAACGGCACGGCGCTGGTGGAGAACGACCCGCATCTCACGGGCGCGCACGGCACGCGCTACGACTTCACGGGCCGCCTCGACAAGTCGTTCTGCCTCTTCTCCGACCGCCGCTTCCACGTCAACATGCTCCTCAACGGCTACCAGGGCGCGCCGCCCGCCCTCGCCACGTCCGCCGCGTCGGCAGGGACCAACTCCGCGGGTAAGGAGTCGTCGACGGAGCTGCACACGTGGATCAAGGAGGTGGGCGTGGTGTGGGTGGGCGCGGACGGCGCGAACCACACGCTGCGCATGGTGGCGCGCAAGGGCAAGCAGCAGGAACGCGGCGCCGACGGGTTCGTGGCGCTGCTGGAGGTGGACGGGGCGGCGACGCGCGTGCCTGGCGTGGGCGAGACGGTGGCGACGGAGAGCGGGGTGGCGGTTACCAAAGTGGCGGAGGCGAAGGAGGGGCCGTTCGACGTGGACCAGTTCCAGGTGCGCGTGGCGGGGCTGGGGGAGCTGGACGTGCGCGCGCGCGTGGCGCACCCGCTGCTGCAGACGGCGGAGGAGGCGGAGGCGCACTTCAACGTGGAGCTGTCGGACGTGGCGATGACGTCAGCCGTGCACGGCGTGCTGGGGCAGACGTTCCGCAGCACCCCGAGCAGCTGCAGCGCGCCGTGAAGTACTCACACCTGGCAGCACTGTTGCACCGCCCCGTCGACGTCGACAAGGCGGACGGCAGCGGCTTCCTGGATGGCCGTGTGGAGGACTACATCTCCTCCTCCGTCGTCGCGCCCGACTGCAAGTACGCCAGCTACGGCACCACCGAGTAACGCAAGAGGTGTGGTGCATGCCGGCTGCCGTGGTGGTCCCGATCAAAAGCAGTGAAGCGAAATGTGTGATGCCGGGGTGCCCATCTGAAAGCCTGATTTGGTGTCAGGCGAATAAGGGCAGCTTGAGCATTGTTGAGGTTTATTAGTGGGCTCATGTACTGTTGCATGTTCTGTGTGTGTACCCCTTCCAAATTATTACACTCATCGTGGCTTTGCCACACTGCCTGTACACGTTGCTCGCACAGCACATTCCTTCTGTCTTCCTCAAGTCTCGTTTGAATCACACCAGCAAAACCCCTGCACTCCCCTCCCTACCCCTGCACTTCCCTCATCACCCCTGCACTCCCCTCATCACCCCTGCACTTCCCTCATCACCCCTGCACTCCCCTCATCACCCCTGCACTTCCCCTCATCCACCCCTGCACTCCCCCATCACCCCTGCACTCCCCTCATCACCCCTGCACTCCCCTCATCACCCCTGCACTCCCCTCATCACCCCTGCACTCCCCTCATCACCCCTGCACTTCCCTCATCACCCCTGCACTTCCCTCATCACCCTGCACTCCCTCATCACCCCTGCACTTCCCTCATCACCCTGCACTTCCCCATCACCCCTGCACTTCCCCCATCACCCCTGCACTCCCCTCATCACCCCTGCACTCCCCTCATCACCCCTGCACTCCCAATCACCCCTGCACTTCCCTCATCACCCCTGCACTTCCCTCATCACCCCTGTACTCCCCTCATCACCCCTGCACTCCCTCATCACCCCTGCACTCCCCTCATCAACCCTGCAATTCCCTCATCACCCCTGCACTCCCCTCGCCACCCCTTCATCTAAGTGACCAACGACAAGGCATCATGCCATCACCAACAACCAGGCATCATGCCATCGCCAACAAGGCATCTTGCCATCACCAACGACCAGGCCTCATGCCATCACCAACAACAAGGCATCATGCTCTCACCGACGACCAGGCCTCATGCCATCACCAACGACCAGACATCATGCCATGACCAACAAGACTGTTAGGATAGCAGAATAAATAGAAAAAAGGTAGTACAGGGGACGATATAGGGTTGGAGTTGTACCCTCTATGAACACAAACCTATCTAGCCTAAAACTTCTACATATAAACACACATGTATAAGTTGACACCCCCTACGCTAGATAAGGGCAGTGCTGAGCAAGAAACACGCAACTAAGGGTGGCGCTTGTTGGAAATATCTCAAAGGACTTAAGCGTTTCTGAAGTGTAACACTACACTTGAGGAAAATTACAGGGGGGGGGGTACGCGAGTCAACGTAGGTTACACGAGGGGACAGACAAAGAACGCGAAGGAACTCGAAAGGTCGCAACTGGAGGTTGCGACTGACAGTTACAACATCGCAGATGGTAACCAAAGCGGCAATCGAGTCGCCTGTGCGACTCGATAACCGCTCCTGCAACTGTATTCCACAACTACTTTCTTATTTCCTATATATTGCTGTATGCTTGTTTCTTTAATCAATCACTTGTTCTCATATACTAGTACAAGGGTTCAACTGCCTCAACTTCCGCTGCACTACTCAAGTCTCATTTTACAACTGGGACTTAGTCTCTGGAAAGATCCCAAGGGCTCTTCTCAGCCCAACAACGCTACTAGTCCAACCTCCGAGGTAAGGGTCCGAAGACCAGTCAGCAAGAGAACAAACTCGACAAGAGCGAACCAGGGTAGCACTACTAGTCCGGCCACTGAAAGAGAAGCCACAAGGCCAATCAAGAAGGTATATATAGAGAGGAGTAAACAATCAAGGTCCTACCAAGTGAGAGTCTACAGGCACTAGACCAAGCTGCAAGCAATGCCGCTGATGATCTTTAGGCACAAGCGCCTTAGTAAAGATATCAGTCGTGTTGGAACCAGAGGCCAAGTGTCTCCACGGGCCTGGCGGCGCTGCTGTAGCTCGCGCAGGAGGAAGTACCGCAGCTGGATGTGCTTCGCTCTGCCCTCAAGTCGAGGCTCCTGACACAAGAGGATCATGACCCTGTTGTCAGCATACAAAACCGGGGCAGAGCTAGGGCACTCACCTAAGTCGGCGAGCAAGAAGGTCAGCCAGCGGAGCTCCTGTGCCGCCATGGCACCAGCATAGATCTCAGCCTCAAGGCTAGACTGGGCAATAGACGAGGAGCGTGTGGACCTCTACGAGATGGCACCTGACCCAAGGCTAAAGCAGAAGCCCTGGGAGGACCTGAGTGTCTCAGCGTCGTCTGCCCACGAAGCGTTTGTGTGCCCGATAAGGACGACTGGCCTGTGACCTCCTAGCACGAGTTCCATGTCCAATGTACTTGCTAGATAACGCAAAACCCTCTTAGCGGCCGACTAGTGCTGTGGCCTCTGTCTGCCTGACGCCACAAAGCGAGCCAAGATGCTGAGAAGGTATGCGAGATCTGGACGAGTGCAAGTCATATAAGGCACACGAGGCAACCCACCAGCTCTGCGTAAGGACCAATGGGCCCACTACTCACGAGGCACCTGTCGCAGGCCGTAGACCGGGCACCGGAGGAGCCACTGGGTCATAGAAGGGAAGGTACCGGTGAAGCCCTGCGGACGGCGCAGGTAGACCTGCTCGAGTAGGCTGCCCTGAAGAAACGCTGTAGAGAACTCGATGGAGTGTAGCTCACAGTCATGCTGTGTTGCTACGTGTAGCAGCGCCCGAAGAGTAGTCATCTTCGGGGTTAGGGCGAAGGTCTAAAAGAAGTCCACCCCTCGCGCTGACTAAAGCCTCTAGCCACGTAGCGCACCTTGAACACAGGCGGCTCTCTAAGGGGGTGCTTCACCTTGAAGAGCCAACAGCCATCGATTACGTTCACCCCAGGTGGGGGAATTGCGTCGATGTAAGTGCCGGTGGATCTCCAAGATGCCATCTCCTGCTCCATGGCAGCTATCCACTGAGAGGCCAGGGTCCCGAGGTCGCCTCAGCGTAAGTGCGAGGGGTCGGGATGTCAAGGGCGTCTGGGTCACCCTCAGGGACTAGCAGCATGGAACAGAGATGGGGAGCGGCCTCTGACAGGAAAGCGAGCTCGTACTGCCTATCCTCTAGGACGTCACTGCCAAGGGCAAGAGCACCCCCGACGGACGGAGGACGAACAAGGTCAGAGACCAGAGCGGTGGCGTAGTCAAGGCAGTGGGTAGAGGCGAAGTCAGCGACAGTAGCAACAAGAGCGTTAAAACTTGAGACAGGAATGGACGGGTCGGTAACTAGGGAGGCGAGGACCCGAGAAACAAGAGTATGAGCGGCACAGGGGAAGTAAGACAGAGGAGGCGGAGCGACAACAAGCGAGGACGGAAGAGGCGAAGGGAGGAGAGGATGACGAGACGCGTGGGAATGAAGCAACATGGGGTGAGAGCGTTGGACAGGAGAGACAGGATGAGCACGAGAGGGACGGTGAGACCAGAAGTGGGACGGAAGCGTCGGGTCAGGAGACACAGGAGGAGAACGAGGGGGGAAACGAGCCGGAGAGGAGTCCGGCGGAGGAAACACAGGGCCATAGACAGGCAGGGGAGGTGGCGGCGGAGGAGGTGCAGGCGAGCGGTTAGGGGAGGGAAGGCCGAGCAGGCAAAGGGCGGACACCGGCGGCGACTACTGCTGCTGCTGCTCCACGCCGACACCTGGACCGCCAGCTGCACCACAGCTACCTCCGGAACACTCCATTCTAGCACCCCTAGAACGAGCACCGCCAGAACGAGAACCCTCTCCAGCACCGGTGCCACCCCAAGGAATGCCGGGACAAGCCACAACAGGGACCCCAGGACTAGCACCCTCCTCAACGCCAGCACCCCCAGAGTCCACGGACAGCTGCCGCTGGGGCGGCGGTGGCGGTGGCTGCTGCTGCGGCTGCGGCGATGGCTGCGGCTGCTGCTGCGGCAGCGACGATGGCAGCTGCTGCGGCAGCGGAGGAGGAGACATCGGGGGAGCAACAGGCAGCAAAAAGCGCGCCGCGGGGCCACCAGAGTCAGCCGACTCCTCGACCGAGACAACCGACAGGAGGGGAGTGACGTGAGACATGCCAGATGGGGAAGGTTGGGGAGGGAGAGAAGCAGGGGCTACCGGGGGAGTGGGAACCAGAATCAGGGGCGGGGAAACCGGGAGACTTCGATGGGGAAAGCGATGGTAAAAGGGGACAGGCTCGTCGAAAGTGACGTTATGGGAGTGTAAGAAGCGGTGAAACGGCGGGTAGTAAAAGTGTCAGTCAGACGAGTCAAGAGGGAAACCGAGGAAGACACAGGGAACAGTGCGGGCAGTCAGCTTGTCTGTGCCAGAGGCACGAACGTGAGCGAGGCAGCCCGAGACGTGGAACGCGGATGCATTACGAGGGATGTGCAGGCCTATAAGGGAACCCGAGGGAACCACTTGACACGGAAGGTTAGACTAGCTACGGGCAACGATAGGAGCAGAGGAGGGGTCAGCAAGTGCGACAGCGGCAATTGCTGCAAGCGGCATGAGTGTGGTGTGGTCGTGGAAGAAGCAGGCAGGCGCACCAAAGTCAAGCGTAAAGGACAGCGACATAGAAACTGCGGCTGGAGGAGGAGCGAGTGTGGAGCCTAAGCTAGACAAGGCAGAAGATCCTACGCTTGACGCAGCAGGGAAGTCTATACTACACACAGGCACTACACCTAAACTAGACAACACAGGGTAATAGGATCCGGCCACACTAGAAGCAGCAGCATATAGAGAATGCAAGGCATAACTAATTTGATCCATGTCTAACTCAAAAACAGGCACACCGTGGCGCAGCAGACAAGGCTAGTCAGGGAGGTCCGGGGCTGGGCCGAAGTGGCGACGAAAGAGGTCGTCGAGACGGCGGAAGCAGCGGGCGGTCGGGTGTAGGCGACGACTCGCGGTGGCGTGGAGGGGGCTGGTTTGGAGCTGGTACTGGCAGCTCACAGCACCGAAGCTGCCGGCAGATGCTGAGCTGCGAGGGCCGCCATCGCGGCCACCACCTCCAGAGGCTCCTGGCCACCCCGGCGGGAGGCGGGCCCACGACTACTACGGCTGTTGCTGCAGCTACTGCTACTGCGACGGCTGCTGCTGCGGTGGCTGCGGCTGCAACTGCTCATGGGCACAAGCCCCGATCCCCTCATCAGATCCAGTGTCCCCGCCACCACCACCACCACCCCTCCCAGCACCCCCGACACCACGCCCCCCTTGGGGCCACAATGGCCCCGACGCGGGCGCAGCT